GGGGTCACGGATCCTTTTCAATGTGTATGCTTGGCACACATTAAGTGTTGTGATGTAAGCATCACGAAGTCGGAGCCTCTGCTTCAGGTACGGGTCGCCTTCGAGAAGATCTCTATGTCCAGCAACCTACAAAAGAGGGTTAAATGGTTGGTATGCTTCATATAAAAAGCATTTTCCGTATTCATATTCCCATTTGTATTACCTGGAGAACAAGGCGCTTGGTTTCTTCGTAGTTGGCTCTCAATTTCTCTCCAAAGGGACAGAGTTCTTTTGATACAAGCAGCTTGTCATACAAGGCAGCAATACCAGGGTCTCCCTTGGCAAGCACCATTTCGATCAAGTCCATTGTGACCCTAAAGAAAGGCCATTGGTTGTACATATCCCGGAGCATCTGGAGATTCTTCACGTCCTTCTCAATCACATGCTTAAAAGCAGCCCCGAAGCCAAGCCACACCGGTAAATGGAATCTTGTTTGAGTCCATGCAAAGATCCATGGGATTGCACGCAGTGTTTCAATGCCTCCACTTGGCTTCCTTTTCGATGGACGGCTTCCGATATTCATCCGACCATACTCCAATTCCGGTGTTGCCTACAAAAGGTTAATTCAGAGAAGTTAAAATGAACACTAGTCACAAGCATCTTTTGACAATGATAATCTATTTTTCGGCAGTGGATGAGATTTCAATGCAATTTTCCATGTGAGAATGATTCGTGTAGAAAATTATTGCAATCTGATATCAGCTGTGTGATTAAATATAGAAATAAGGCATCCAAAAAACCACTTCCTCGAGCATTAGGGAGTTTCTATGGAAGTTTGTATGCAAATATTATACAAAATTAAATTGAAGTATCATATAAATAAGGGATTAAAGTGGAGAAATACTTACTAGGCGGAAGTATTCAACAAAACGAGGTTCCTGGAAGACTACAGAACGATATTCCTTTGTTGCAACTAGTGCCATTTCATCCATGAGTGCACGCCATTCTGGATTCGGTGAGACTGGGGGATGCATTCCATGCTCAAGTGTAGCAGCAGTAAAACGCTGAAGCGTCCTGAAGCACAAGTGCTCCTCTCCAAAGGACTGTTCAATAACTTCACCTTGAACTGTTACTCGAAGTGAACCATGAATTGTATCAGGTGGTTGAGACAAAATAGCAAGATGAGTCGGTCCCCCTCCTCTTCCTACAGTCCCTCCTCGGCCATGAAACATTGTAAGCTTAACACCATACTGCTTTGCCACCTTTACAAGTTCCTCTTGCGTCTTGTATAGCTGCCAAGCAGCAGAGAGACGACCAGCATCCTTTCCAGAATCCGAGTAACCTATCATCACTTCCTGTTTCCCATTGATTCGGTTTCTGTACCAATCTATAGAGAAGAGACGAGCAACAGCAGCAGGAGCAGCTTTAAGATCAGCGAGTTTTTCAAACAATGGAACTACCCTTACTGGTTTCTTTACATGGCATTCACGTTGTAAAAGCTCAACAGCAAGCACATCAGATGAGGCTGTTGCCATTGAGATTATATAGGCACCAAAGCTGTCCGAAGGCAGTTCAGAAATGACGTGAAAAGTGTCCAGCACATCTGCAACTTCTTCTGTTTTGGGAAGATCAGGGCCGAATAGAGGACGCTTGCCTCTGAGTTCAGATAAGAGCCATTCCTGTCGCCGTTCCTCATTCCATTCTCTATAAGAACCAATACCTAGGTGCTTTGTGATGGCATCAAGAACATCAGTATGCCTGTCAGATTCTTGTCGGATATCAAGCCTCACAAGGGAAAGACCAAAGGTTGAAACTTGCCGTAAGAAATCCAGAAGGCTTCCATCAGCTATTGGCCGATCACCGCAAGCACAGAGTGATCTATAGCAGAGCTCAAGAGGCTCCAGAAACTATAGGAATACAAAAATAGAACCAGTAAATATTAAATCTTCCCCAACACAATTACAGTGAAATAAATCATCACCATATGTGTGTGTGTGTGGTAAGGATTGTTATGTTACTCGAGGAAAAACGCTTTACTTCAATAAATGGTGAGAAATATGCAACACTTGCAAATTAACTAATTCAGCAGTAACTCGGAAAGTTCATTTCAAAGTAGAGACCTGCTCCACATTGGTAAAAGCTGATTCTTCAGGAATGTCGGAAAACCCATTGACCAACAGGTGACGAGCACGTTCACGTGTATTGTACAGCTTATCTCTCACATCACCAAGAATAACACGATACGGCTCATTTGGAGGAATCTGTTTCCAGAATTCTGCATTCAAAATCATTTTACAATGAACACATTGATCTACAAATTATACCCAAACAAATATCTCAATCTTACGGAGCTAATTCATATATTATTCAGGAAGCAATTGACAAGTATATGTACACCTATTACTGATAGCTCATAAGCAAGTCTAAAATTCAAACCACGCGTTAAGATCAATGTTACATACCTATGTAATGTTTTGCATCTCTTTTCGAGGACCTATGAAGTTCATCTGCACGAACACGAAGCTCATCGTTGCAGCGCCACATTGATAACTAAAAATAAACCAGAGCAAAATGAAAGAAGACGAATCAAAATTGTAATAATAAACCATGATATAAACTCTTAACTATAGAAAGAAAAGTGTCTCAGGCTGGGAAGTTATCTTTTCTATACCTCGAACATAAGATCCTCTATTTGGGAGAAGTACAAGTTAGCGGCCATCATTCTAGCCAATAAGCATACATCTCTAGTAACTTCCGGAGTCACCCTGGGGTTTCCTGCAGTCAACATCAAATAGTATCTAAATTTAGATGTCCCGACATATGAAATAAGGTAAGCATTTCTGCATTTCAATTCAATTAATAACAAAAAAACAACATTTTTTGCACAATCTATTTTTCTTTCACATCCCTACTGCAAGTTAAATAAGACTTATAGTTGCAGCTTGCAATGTTGCCTCTTTAAGTAATAAACCATTTCCAAAACAGGACAACATTCTTCAGTTAAATATATGTGGAAAAGAAGCATACCATCACGATCCCCTCCCATCCATGAAGAGAATTGAATAAGAGGGGCATTGTAGGGAACACGTTCATTTATCCCTATGTTCTTCAAAGCTGTGTCAACGCGACGCAAGAATTTTGGTACACCTTTCCAGATTGTCTCGTGGAGGTAGCTCATTCCTGCTCTCATCTCATCTTGTGGGGTGGGAGGATTCCTACGGATCTCATCCGTACGAAAAGCAGCTTGAATCTATATGAACATAAAACGATACAGAGAGTTGTGAGCTCAGATGTTTCCTATATCGTAGGTGTCAAATATTGATTTAGCATTCTAGTATAGAAGCCTTGGTTCCTTGCAGTTATATCAGAGCTCAAATACGAAGCATATGAATACGAAGTAAATTTTGCATTTTCTTACCTCCCTTTGTAGAGCCTCGTCAAGTTCCTGCTTATCATCCGGAGTAATGTCTTTAGCATACAACTGAGTCAAACAATTACGTATCCTGCAAGATTGAAAATGGAATTCTCAGTGAATTATAACATAAACAAGATAAAACTTGCAACACATCCAATGATAGGAAGTCTAAGCAGCATATGTAAGCAGTCAATGTAATAAAATCATGGCAAGAGTGCTGTCCATGCTAAAAATGGTGAGACAAACCTTCCATGTTTTTGAAGTAAGGATCTTCTAACAGACTGAGTAGGATGCGCAGTCAAGACTAAATCCACAGTCTGATTCTTCAAAGCATCGAAAACTTGTTGAGGGGACATGTTCAACTGACCCACAAGTCTCTTGAAGGTCTCTTCAATGTCTGACTCGGTTGTTGCAGAGCTTTCATCAGCAAAGTCACCTTTCTTCAACTTGATCCTCCTTCTATAAGCAATCTGAACCTCCTCAGCCAAGTTCCCCAAGTTAAGCATGTGGGAGAATGATTTGGTAACCACAATTGAATCCCCTGGGTCCAAGCTTGTGAGTACCTTCCCAAGCTCCTCCAATATGTTAGGGTCATGCTTCCCTTCGTACTCAGCAGAAAGCTCATAACATTCTTGAACCTAATTATAACATTAACCCACAAATACTGAGTTCCTTACTGATTAAAAACTTGAAACAAACAATCGTATGAAGTAATTAATACCGTTTCTCTGATATCCTCTCCATGCAAATATTGAAGAATGTCGAGAAAACGATCCAAAAGCAAAGCATCATATTCAATCAACTTATCATCCTCAGATACTTTCCCAGGTGCTAGTAGCCTAAGCTGTGCATCTATGGAGGCCATCTTTTCTATTTTCCTACCTGCCATCTCTGCCATTTTAGTTGGCCAATCTGTGGAGAGATGTATCTGGAAAAGTGAAGGAAAGACAAGTGAATTCCGTGAGGAAGAAATCGCTAGAAAAAACAAAAGGAGAAATGGGTAACTTATGACTCAAACACAAGAAAGTGAAACACGACGACTATATCACGACACGACACACAGACTCACTGACACTCGCATCGCTTCCTTATTTATGGCTCAAAAGGCCAACTCTTCTTTTTCTTGAATTTTCTATTTTACTTTTGCTTAACGCATAAATGCTGTTTTAAAGTATTTTTTGGAATATTTTATTTCTTAAAATTTAAATTGTTATTCCATTTATTTCAAATTTTTAATTTTACTAAAACAAATTGGTGATCAATCAAAATTCAAAAACACATCACTTAATTATTAATTTTAATTCTTTTTAAATAAATAAAATTCGATTAAAAATAAAATAAATAATTTTTAATTAATAAAAAATAAAACATTTAAACCAGTACATGTTTGTTTTATTCTCTTTCTTCCCCATTCACCATAAATCCAAGACTACCTTCTACTTTGTTTAATTTCCCCATTCATTTAAATACAACATTCATGTGTAAATGGTGTTGTCTTTAATTTTCCCCCTCATAGAAAACTTGGGGATTATTGTGCCTCCTCTATTTGGTTTATTGAAGGTTGATGGAGGTTTAGACATCGACGAAGTTTGAGAAAATTTTGAAGATGGAAACATTGGTGCATGCGAAGATGAAGATAGAGATTGCATCTATGTTACAATCTGAGATAAAATTGGTGCAGGCTAAGATGAAGATGGTGGGTGCATCCGTGTTGCAGTTTGAGATAAAGTGAGTGTAGGTAGAGCTGAAACTGAAGGCTGCATCCATGCTGCATTATGAGATGAAACTAGAGGCTACATCCCAATTGCAGATTGAGATGAAACTGAAGGCTACATCCTTGTTGCAGTCTGAGATGAAATTGGTGCAAGCTGGGATGAAACTAGAGGTTGTGTCAATGGTGCATTTTTAGGTGAAGTTAGTGTAGTTTGAGATGAAACTGGAGGCTGAAAATTGAAAACGCACATTTCACAAATAGGTCAAAATGATGGAAACCAACAAAATGCTAGAAATTAAAATATTAGAGAACTAATTAACATGTTTAACTTGCATTCTTTTTTCGGACATGTTCTAATGTTGTGTCCAACCTTACCACAACATCTACTACTCATCTTACTTTCATGTTTAGACTACTTGCTTCCTTTGAGTATTTCTTCTTCGTCCATTTTCCTCTTATGTTTGGGTCTTTCAGGAAGTTTTCTTTTGAATGAGTGATTTATAGGCCCCATATTTATTTTCTTCCGGAAATAATCACTAGGAAACGTTGACAAAGTATAATTGTACAACAAGTTGTACGTTTCTTTTTTGTATGCATCAACCACATATGACTCAATAGACTTATTCCTATTCCTATATAAGATAACACATATTGTATGGAGTATAAAATACCTATCAGATTCCAATATTCACAGGTGCAATTTCAGCCCTTACCATTCAGAACGTATGTTTCCTTATTACATAATACCTCATAATCATGTTGTCCATTTCAAGCTATATGACAATAAAAATTAGTTTCATGTACGTCAACAACTTTAAAACTTTTAAGACGGAGAAAAGACTCCTAAATTTGATATCTAAGTTTATGTGAAAGGTTTCGATTTCGAGATCGTTTAAAGCAAGTGAGGTTGTTAGAAGGGTTAGGAGAGTCAAGGTGAAGAGGACAGCCTCGGTATTGTCTCCTACTAATGAGCAAGGTAAGCCGATGGGAAAAAATCATAAGATTTTTGTTAAAAGGACTATCTCTCTTCCTTCTTGTCTGGCCCCTTCTACTACGAGCTTAATTTCAAGCACTCCGTTTGTTTATTCGTTTGTTTCTTGGAGTAAATTTTTTGGACTTGTTTTTTTATTATGATGTTTTGGGTGTCTGTCGGTGCCATTTCTAATGGATATAAATTTTTGGTGCGCAGGTCGTGCTGCAGCCCTTGTGGAATCCACCATCATGCACGCTACTGTTGCGAACGTATCCACAAGTATACCTGCAGTGTTGTCCTATGTTCCTTCTGCTGCTGCTGCTGGTTCAGCCTCCTCTTCCTTGTTAATTTATGAATATTTATTTAAAATAAAATATAAAATCATTTAAAAATATTTTTTAAATCTAAATTTCTTGTTTTAATTTTTAAATGGTATTTGATTGGCTGGAAAACGTGAATGAAAAACAACCATATCAGTATAAGTAGAAATTGAAAATTTCAAGGCTAATACATCGGAGCATATTAAGATTTTGAAGTTCTCAATGCTACCCCATCGGAGCAATTTACTCGATGGATCATTTTACTACTTAAAGAAAAAAAAAACTAATATTAGATATTTCTCTAAATAATAAAATAAAATTATCGATGCATATAGAATTTGTATCAATAATTTGTGCTGTAGTTATATTTAAAATAATTGCATGTAACTAATTTATCTTATATAACTTAGGACTTATATATACATTATTTTTTTTTCATCTTTTATTTTATAAAATTTACATGATTTCTGGACAAATTCTCTAAACTTCAAAAATACATATGGAACGGGAAACCATGCAGAAACCCTAATAGAGAGCCGCAAGGTGTTACTTTTGTTTCTGATTTTCTTGGCAGCCAAACAGAGATCTAAGACAATGGCAAATCCGGAAACGGTCAACGGCGAGGTGGAGACGACGGAGGAGTTCCACGAGACCGGCGAAGGTAAAATATCCGAGCTGCTTAATAAACTCGAAGCGCTTAAGAGCGAGAAGCTGAAATTGACCCACGAAAACAAAAGAATGAAGGAGAAGATGAATAAACTGAATCAAGAAGTGGATCATCTGCACAGCAGGGAAGAAGAAATGAGACAAGACATCGATGACTGGGATGAAGATACGAGTTTCCTGGAATCGATCGCGACGAGATCGGCCGACCTCGAAATCGAAGTCACGAGGCTCCAACACGATCTCATAACGTCGATGCGCGAAGTAGGTGAAGCGAAGCAGGAGGTGACCGAGTTAAAGAATGGATTGGAAGAGAAAACGTTGGTGATCGAAAGATTGCGCTCCGAAATCTCCGAGCTGATAAAGGATAAAGTTAAGGCCGAGAAGAGAGGAAGAGAACTGGAGACGAAAATAGGGCTTCTAGAAGTGAGGGTAAAGGAGGAGAGGGGAAAGAAAACTCGGGTCCAAGATGAAATGGAGGAGAGGATGACTGAGTTAAAGAAGAAAATCCAGGACCTTGAAGACGAGGTGGCTCAAACCAACCATAAGTTGAAAAGAAGCAAGCAAGTCAAACGACAATGCCAGGAGAAGGTGATGGGGTTGGAGAAAAAAATGTTGGAATTTCAGGATACCTTGGACCAGAACACAATCGAAGCTGCTCTTAGTGGAAAGGTTAAGGATATTGGTTGTAAAGACAAAGGGTTGAATGTGCCAATCATGGCCGCCGGAATGGTTGCTGCCGTCGTTGTCGTGGCGGCTGTGGTAGATCGTTGCCTTAGGAAGCATTGGTGAAGAATGAATTCTGGTGGAAGATAACGAGATGAAGGATAAGCAAAGGTTAGAGCTCTCTTATGGTTATCAACATGTATTTAAATTGCGATTGCAGTAGCATCTTGATTGCATCGTGATTATTGCGATTACATACATTATAAATGTTATTGTGGTGATTACCAATATCGTTATCATACAATAATAATTTCAAACACCACCGCTATGACTATATAACGGACATACATATAAATATTGTTTCTTTTTTTTATTATAATTATTTTTCTTAAAATAAAAGTTTTGATATATTAATTTATATAATTTAAGTTTATAACTAAAAAATTGTTTATTTTGTTAATTATCTTTAAGATAGGTGGTTAAAAGCTTTCACTTGACACATCTCTTTTACTTCATGTTGTGATTTTAATTTTTTTTATTTTATTGATACATATTTTCTACCATGCACATTTAACCCAAAAACATCTAAAGTGAAATGAATTTGTGTGTTCTATTTTATTAATTTATTTCAACATGTTACACGTAAAAAATATAATTTTATATAATTAATCTAAACATTAAATTTTATGAAGAAGGTAAATAAAGAATATATGATTTTATGAAATTTAAAAAAAACTATGAGTTAAAATTATATTATTTAGTTATGATATATAAGTAAAATAATTAAAAGAATCTTCAGATTTAAAACATAAAAAATATAACTTATTCAAACATTGATCATTGGATTTTATATGGTTAGACAGCAAGAAAGATATGTAAGTTGCTTATAAAAACAAGATAAGTTCTCATGGCATATAAGAGAAAATCGCCTCAGTGACCAAAAAAAAGTTATAATATACGATTTTAACCAACTTTTTTTAGATTTGCCAAAATGACCAACAAAATCGCAACGCGAAATAAAAATCGCAACGCGATCCCCAGAATCGCAAATCAGTTTCCAAAATCGCAACGCGATTCTTGAAAATCGCAATGCGATAGTACAAATTCGCATTGCGATTTTCCAAAATCGCAACGCGAATATGAAAATCGCAACGCGAACACATAAATCGCAACGTGTATCCGTATATCGCAACGCGTATCCGTAAATCGCAATGCGTATCCGTATATCGCAACGCGTATCCGTAAATCGCAACGATAATCCGTAAATCGCAACGAGAATCTGTAAATCGCAACGATAATCCGTAAATCGCAACGAGAATCTGTAAATCGCAACGATAATCCGTAAATCGCAACGAGAATCTGTAAATCACAACACTGAAATTTTGGGTATATAACACTGAAATCATAAACTAAATCCCTAAATCGCAACTCATTCCATCTCCATCTATCACTCTCTCCGGCGACATCCGTTCCTATATCCAACGACATCCTTCCCAATCCGGCAACAGGTTTTAGTTTCGCAGCTCGTCTGTTTAGTAAATTAATTTACAACCATGAAATCATCTAATGTTGATCATGTTTGGATAGATTTGTGTTTTGGAGGGTCATGGGATAATGTTCATGGTGTTTTACAATATATGCCTTTACCCATGAATCCTCAACTAAATTGTCTTTACAAAAGTTAACTTATGAAACTCTAATGCTACGTGTTTCAAATAAATTGAATTTAGAGCCCCTAAGTGGATTTAGGCTATCTTATCAGAGAAATGGTAAAGTTTATTTGTTAACCGACAATGAAGATGTTGAACGATTCATTGCTTACATTAGTGTTTCACAAGATGATGTTACATTGTATGTTGTTGAACCTAGAAGTAGTATTGTTGGGTCAGTAGCGGGTAGTAATCAACTAAGTTTTTCTCAAAACCCACAACCTTTCTCTAATCCAAATCCCAATCAACTTTCAGCACCAAATTCCGGTTTTCGTATTGACCAGTTAGACGATGATGAGCCAACAGAAAAAATTGTGAGTACTAGTCAGTATCGAAATTGGTCTTGGTCAATATCCGGACTTTGATATTGGTCAATACACGGATTTTGATGATGTTTCAGAAGAAGAAACAGACCATGTGTGTAATGATTTTAATATTGGTCAATACCCGAATTTTGATGATGAAACACCCGTTGCCGAGGAAGATGTTGTTGATGATAATGAGGAGGAAGTTACGACTGTGAATGAACATGTTGAACATCCATTCTGTAATTCATATAATCCTGAAGAAGAAAAAGAAGAAGAAAAAGTCCCCGAAGAAAAGAAAATGCCACGGAGTATAACTGGAATATGCCAGAATTACTTCAGTTACCGGAAGAAGAGTTGGCAAAGAAAGCAGTTGATTGTTACACAAAAGTTATTCGTGTCAAGAAAGATGATTGTTTTGATACAAAGGAAGACTTGAAGATATCTTTGTATACGAAATGTGTGGAAGATGGCTATCAACTAAAAGTTAACAAATCAAGCAAAGATCGTTTCGAAACAAGGTGTATGATTGACAAAAACTGTACGTGGCGTATGATTGCAAAGAGAATAAAAGATTGCAAAATGTTTCAAGTTAGGACTTTTATTGATAAACATACATGTTCAAGAACCCAAGTTTTTCCTCACCATAGACAGGCAAACAAAAAGGTGTTGGGTGGTTTTCTGGCTGAGTTAATGTTTTTGAATGGCAGGGTATATCGGGGACATGAAATTATGACTGACATGAATGCTCGGTTCAAGATTAGTATATCATATTCTCAAGCTTGGAGAGCCAAATGTTATGCCTTGGAATTGTTGAGGGGGTCGCCAGAAGCATCGTTTGCCCAACTGCCGGCTTATTGTCACAATTTAAAGCTGAAAAATCCTGGGTCGGTAACTCATATCAAAACAAATAGAGATGGACGCTTTGAGTTGCTGTTTATCGCCATTGGTGCTACGGTTAGTAAATCAATATAATTTTGTTGACTCATTTTTGTTAGTTACATGCATTTCACATTTAAATGATTATATTTCTTGTGTATATTATTTTGTAGATTCGTTCGTTTATTACTTGCATGCGCCCAGTTATTATAGTTGACGGAGCACATTTGAAAGGTCGATACCTTGGAGTAAACTTATTAGCAGTAGCCATGGATGCTAACAATGGGATATTGCCAATAGCTTACGGGTTGGCAAATCTGAAACCTCTGATTCATGGACATGGTTTATGGGGCATCTTAGGGATTGCATAGGTCCTATTAGCAATCTGACAATCATATCCGATAGGGCAAACTCAATTGACAACGCTGTTAGAAGGTGTTTCCCAGATGCTTTTCATGGACTTTGTGGTGTTCATTTGTATAGAAATCTAAAATCAAGGTCTGCTGGTATAAAAAAGCACAAATGGACATACTGGAAGGCTGTAAAAGCTTATCGGGAAGTGGATTTCAATAAGCATATAAATTGTTTAAGACGTGTTTTGCCTCAGTGTGCTCAAACACTAGAAGATGTCGGGTTTGAAAGATGGTCAAGAGTACATCAACTTGGAGCAAGATATGGTTTTATGACGTCTAATAGTGCAGAATCAATCAACGCTCTAAGTCGTCATTCCCGGAAATTACCCATTACTATGTTAATGGAGTTTTTTCGAGCCTCTATTCAACAGTGGTACTACAAGAAAAGAAACCATGCAGGTATTATTTCTTTGAATTCGTAACTTATCATATTTATATATTTTACTAAGTATTGTTTATTTAAATTTACAGGAACATTGGAACATCGTGTTACACCATGGACTGAAAAAAAGATAACGAAACGTGTTGTGAAGTCAACGTCATGGAGAGTTGAACCATGTTCAAACACTTTGTTTCAAGTACTGGATAATAACTTAAATGGGCTAGTCGATCTAAATGCAAAGACGTGTAGTTGTATGAAATGGCAAACATCTGGTTATCCGTGTGGCCATGTTATAAAAGTTGCTCTTCATTTAAACCAAGATGATTCAAGCGCATACGCTATGGATTGCTACACTACAGAAGTTTATCGACAGACTTATGCCGAGATTGTCTACCCTATTCCACATCCTTCTGAGTGGGACATACCAGATGACTTACAAATAGTTTTGCCACCAGCCATGGACAGAAGGCTACCTGGCCGACCAAAAAGTCACGATCGTATACCGTCTAAGGGTGAAGAGAAGAAGAGATCGACATGTAGTCGGTGCAAGGAAAGTGGTCATACAAGGTTGACATGTGGATCACCAGTGCCATCAAAATCATCTTTTCCTCTACCAAAATATGGATCCTCATCAAAATCCAAAGCTCATATGGTGTCAAGCAAAAGGCAATCATTTAAAATCCCAATCACAATTGGCTTCACCTTTTGGGACTGTTAACTTAGGTGATTTTTAAATGCAAACGTTGTATTATGTGGATTTTATGTGTGAACTTTTAACATTTTCAGTTGAATTAATGACTCAGGCAAAAGGTTTTGACTTAACCAACTCTTGTTATTCAGTTGTTATCACTATTAGGCATGCATTTGACTATCGCAACACGGAAATTACAATCGCAACGCGAAATGAAAATCCCAACATGAAAATCGCAATGCGAAATGAAAATCGCAACGAGAGAATCGCAATGCGAAATGAAAATCGCAATGCGAAATGAAAATCGCAACGAGAGAATCGCAATGCGAAATGAAAATCGCAATGCGAAATGAAAATCGCAACGACAGAATCGCAATGCGAAATGAAAATCGCAATGCGAAATGAAAATCGCAATGCGAAATGAAAATCGCAACGAGAGAATCGCAATGCGAAATTATAAACGCATTGCGGTTCTCTCGTTGCGATTTTCATTTCCGCATTGCGATTTTCATTTCGCATTGCGATTCTCTCGTTGCGATTTTCATTTCGCATTGCGATTTTCATTTCGCATTGCGATTTTCATTTCGCATTGCGATAGTCATTTTTGCCTTCAACATAATGCAGATTGAAATCAACAAAATCAACCATTACATTTCAATCAATTAAACAAGCCCAAATAAGAATTATGTTCGCATCAATTACACAAATCAACTTTTACAAATCATCTTTTACAAATCAATTAAACAA